ATTTTTATTTTAAAATTTAAAATTGGTAAAGAATCTCGATGTGATCCTGAGGCAAAAGTTGTTCGGTTTATTTTCTGCATAAGTTCAGCATAACATAATTGTTTTTTTTTGTTTTTTTGTTTTTTTTGCTGGGAGCTTCCCTGGTCCTTCCACAGCCGGGCCGCCTGGGAAAACAGGGTGACCCGGGCGGCCCGGATGGTAGCCTAGTTTGTTGTATTTTAATGACCCGCCAAAACACAGACTGAGAACACTGCTGATTTCTGGGATTTGCCGCTGGAATGAATGCCTTGCTGAGATTCCCGCATTCTGCTGTAGTTTCCAAGTCTGTGTGTGTGTGTGCGTGCCTGCTGGTTTGCGTGCCTGTCTGAGTGCTTGTCGGCTGAGTGTGTGTGACCCGCAAGGGTACTTGTTGGTTGAAAGGCCCCGCAGGGCCAGTACTTACCTGTGGCCGTGACTTTGAGGGTTGCGGCGGGGAAAACACTCGAGTAGCGGGGGTAGGCCCGCGACACTTAGAGCAGCGGGGAAAAACACTCAAGTAGCAGGTAGGCCGGTACCACTCAAGTAGTGGTAGGAGTGTCAGGTACTGGAGGCCGAGCAGAAGAAGACAAAAGTTGGCATTTTTAGAGGCCCAGTAGCGGTAGGTTAGAGGTAGGCCGGTACCAGTCCAAGTAGCCTGAGTCTACGGCCTGTCCGGACGATAGCAGAGCCTGCAATGATGTTTCCCTCCGAAAGGGAGGAGGTACCGGTTGCTGGGAGGCCGCTCGGTAGGAAGTCACCCCCCAAGAGGCCAGTAGGCCGCTATATCTTCGGGAGGAGCAAGCAGCTCCTCCTCATTTGCGGTATGCAAGGATTGGCGACATGCTGCTGAGCCAAGCGCTGGTCTTGTGCAGCGCTGCCTGGAGGTGAAGAGCAGCTGGGTGCTCAGCCTGGCTATGGCGAGCAGCCCAGCTTGAGGAGGAGGGAGAAGGCGGTGAAGGAGGAGAGTGGCGAGGTACCTACCTGGCTATGGTGGACACCATCTTCATCACCTTGTTGGACGCTGCATCTGGAAGGCCCCAGTTGGGGTAGTGCCGCACCAAGGAGGCTCGAGGCAGAGTCAGGCATGGCGGCTTAGTCAGCAGCGGCATAGCTGCTTTGGGTTGTCCTTTGGACAGGAGTGCAGCGACATAGCTGCTTTACGTTGTCCTTTGCATAGGAGGGCAGGGCCCTCAGTAGTCCGCCATAGCCTAGGCATGTGAGAGCTGGAAGAAGGGGGGGAAGCCCTCGTCTTCTT